AGGAGACACATAAAAAAAAAAGACAATTAACTGTCTCCTTTTTTTTTTTTTTTTTATGTGTCTCCTTTCTTTTTATTTGTCTCCTTTTTTATGTCTCCTTTTTATTTGTCTCCTTATTTTTTTTTTATGTGTCTCCTTTCTTTTTATTTGTCTCCTTTTTTATGTGTCTCCTTTTTATTTGTCTCCTTTTTTATGTGTCTCCTCCCTTATTTGTCTCCTTTTATTAACTGTCTCCTTTTATTAACTGTCTCCTTTTATAACTGTCTCCTTTTTTTATGTGTCTCCTTTTTTTTATGTGTCTCCTTTTATAACTGTCTCCTTTTTTTTCTCTCCTTTTTTTTATGTGTCTCCTTTTTTTTGTCTCCTTTTTTTATGTGTCTCCTTTTTTTTCTGTCTCCTTTTTTTTATGTGTATGTGTATAGAGGAGACAGTTAAGTGTCTCCTTATTAAGGAGACAGTTATGTGTCTCTTTTTTTTTTTTTTTATGTGTCTCCTTTTATGTGTCTCTTTTTTTTTATGTGTCTCTTTTTTTTTATGTGTCTCCTTATTAAGGAGACAATTAAGTGTCTCCTTTTTTTTATTTGTCTCCCTTTTTTTTTTGTCTCCTTTTTGTCCCTTTTGTTGCGTCAATAGACATTTTGCTGCAGTTTTCTCCCTACAACGAATTAAAGCCAAATAATGCATGCATGCAGCAGCAGCAGCAGCAGCAGCAGCAGCAGCAACATGCTGCTGTTGCTGCTATTGTTGCTGCTTCTGCTGTTTCTGCTGCTGTCGTTGCCGCTGTTGCTACTATTGCTGCTGCTGCTGCTGCAGCAGCAGCAGCAATAGTGCCGCTGTTGCTACTATTGCTGCTGCTGCTGCTGCAGCAGCAGCAGCAGCAGCAGCTTAGATCTGTATAGGGTCTATTGGTTGTTGCTCAGGAGGCAGCCCACTAACTACTGCCTCCCATGTCTTCCGTGCTGCTTCCTCCTGCAGCAGCAGCAGCAGCAACAGCAGCAGCAAATAGATATATTATACTACAGCAGCACAGCTAAACACTAAGAGGCAGCAGCAGCAACAGAGACAGAAAACAGACAACAGCAACAGCAGCAGCAACAACAACAGCAACAGCAACAGACACGCCCAGGAGACACCACTACCACCAGCAACAGCAGCAGCACCAGCACCAACAGCAGCAACAGCAACAGCAGCAGCAGCAGCAGCAGCAGTAGCAGCAGCAGCAGCAGCAGTAGCAGCAGCAGCAGCAGCAGCAGGACTAACCGCAGTAATATTAGCAGTATCTATAACGGGGTGTATATGCAGCTCAATTGGTGTTTGTGTTGGTAAAGGAAGCATAAACCCTACAGGCTGCAACTTATGTGCACCTACAACAGATACAGGCAGCAGCAGCAAACCCAACTGCAGCAGCAGCAGCAGCAGCAGCAGCAACAACAACAACAACAACAGCAGCAACAGCAACAGCAGCAGCAGAAGAAGAAGCAGCAACACACACAACGCACACAGAACAAATGGCATATAGATGTATAAATTGTACACCCAAGAGGCGTAAACCCTAAACCCTAAACCCTAAACCCTAAACCCTTATTTGTGTGCCGCATATGTGTAAGTGTGTCAATAAGGGTTTATTATTAGGGTTTATGAGGGTTTAGGGTTTAGGGTTTAGGGTTTATACTTTTTTAGCGATATGGAAGAGTCCCATTTTAGGGTTTGTGGCGCGTCCATCTCTTGCTCTGCTTCCCTCTGGAAATCCAAGAAAGACAGGAAACCCTAAATTAGGGTTTAGGGTTTTATTATATTCTTTTTCTTTTTCTTCTTTTTTTTTCCTAAACCCTACAACCTTAAACATTTCCCTCACTAAGCGAACTGTGCCACTCAAAGAATTCCTCTCAAATCCGACTACTCCTATCTCACGCATTGCGTGACCTACATACAAAACCCTAAACCCTAAACCCTAAACCCTAAACCCTAAACCCTAAACCCTAAACCCTAAAAATTAATAAAATCCTAAAACTTCATATAAACCCTAAAAACCCCTATAAACCCTAAAAAAAAGAATATAAACCCTAAAAAACCCCCAAGAGAAAAAAGAAAAAAGCAGCAAAAAAAGGAATAACAGGAGGAAAAGGAGAAAGAAAGGATATATATATTTCTTACCAACAATAGGCCATTTAAGTATTTCTGCCTTGGATACAAAACGAATATGCTGTAAAGGAAGAAAACCCCCCAATAAAGGAATGTCTGATACACTTGAATGATTACTTATTATTAAACATGGACCTTTTATTCCTTTTATATTTTCTTTACCATATATATTAGGGTTTATATATGCGCATGCTGCACATAACACAAAATATATATCAATATATATATATATATATATATATATA